GGGGGGGGGGGGGGGGGGGGGATTAGCGTCTCTACTCACTGTGGGTTGCGTGAATAGGAATGGAGGAAGCGGGAAACGGAGAATCTCTGAGGAGTTTCTTGGGAAAATTCACAAGGAAAGGGAAAGATGAAAGGTTTTGGTCCATAAAGAAAAAGCTATCACTGCTTTAGCTTTATTTATGCCTTTGTTTTCCAGAAATAATAGAGACTATTCATGTCTTCTTGTGAGTTTTTTAAATTTGAATTGGATCCAATCATGCTGAGCTTTTTTTTTTAAAGTGGAAATAATTAAAATAGAAAGTAATAAGAAGAGTATAAATTTTTATTAACTTGTAAGGTTTCTTTTTGTTTTTTTTTTAAGTTTCAATCTTACTAATTTAGTATTAATTTCTAAACTGATTAACAAACTGAGTAAACAATTGTACAAATAAAAATATGATGGATATATCACATTTCTCATGTACTTTTAAGATTAAATTTATAATTAAATGAATTTGAGGATTGAATTTAATTATTTTCTTAGATATGCTATATAATGTTTGAAGATAAGTTTTATTTTTCAGAATGATTTAATCATGTAAATAAATAAGTAAGTACATGTTTAGTTTCATTTAACTAATGATTTATATTTTTAGCTCTTCAACTTCATCAAAATACACAAGTGACACTTTAACTTTCTTGTTAACCAAAGGCCCACCAGTAACACACACTCAATTTTCGAAATTGGACTTACCATTTGGAGGGCCCAAAGTATTTGTGGTTAATAAAAGAAAGTTTACATCTTTCATCAATCATCACCGGTCGTCGCTCCACGTGTACCGGACATGAGAAACATCTGCCTTAAACGTTCCGGTCTTCACCGAGAGAACATTTCTCCAAATCTCCCACACTGTAACCCATGGCCACGATTCCTCCCCACTTCCCCATGGCGACCCGCTCTGCTCTTCGCCGTGCGTCCTCCTCCGTCTATCTCTTCAGCACGATGAAACTGTTTAAACCGAGAGCCTTCTCTTCCTCAGTAAAACTCCCCACGAAACCTCCTCTTTGCACCGCCGACGAGCTTCATTACGTCTCTGTTCCCAACAGCGATTGGCGTCTTGCTCTCTGGCGCTACTTCCCTCCTCCTCAGGTTACCCTCCTCTTCACCACTACCCCTCTCCTCTGTTTCCTCTGTTTTTTTTTTTTTTTTTTTTGATTAAAGTCTTCACCTTTACAGGCGCCACCACTACCCTCTTCTCTGTTTCCTCTGTTTTTTCTTTTTTGATTAAAGTCTTCACCTTTACAGGCGCCACCACTACCCTTCTCTCTGTTTCCTCTGTTTTTTTTTTTCTGATAAAGTCTTAACCTTTACAGGCGCCGAAGAGGAATCATCCTCTCTTACTCTTATCTGGAGTAGGAACTAACGCCATCGGATATGATCTCTCTCCCAATGTAATGTTTTTGATTTGACTCTGTTTTTTCATAAAGGTTCTAACTTTACTCTAGGGTTTGATGTAATTTCTTGCAGTGCTCTTTTGCAAGACACATGTCCGGTCAAGGATTCGAGACGTGGATCCTCGAGGTTCGTGGAGCAGGGTTGAGTACAAGAGTATCTGATCTCAAGGACGTTGAGGACTCTGCTCACGAGTTGTCTCATCAGATACAGTCCACTGCTAAAGCTGCAGCTAAAGAAGCTACATATGAGAAACATGTTACTGATAGTGCTCCACAACCAGCTTCTGATGTTTCAGTTGTCGGTGAAGCCTCTGCTTGGGACGAGTCAAAGATCGTGGCGAGGTTAACCGCAACGTTCATGCGTTTGTCTGAAAGGCTTTCTGGTTTTCTCAGTGAAGGTCAGTCAGTGTTTATGTCTGCTAAGCTGTTTGACAAGATCGCTATGCTTTTGGAAGATTCAAGGATGTACGAGAGGTTTAATGAGATAAGATCAAAGCTTTTGAGTTTGATTGAGTCGAGGCAGAACTCAGGGATTGGTAACCAGATTAGGGAGTTGACTCAGCGGCTTGTGAATCTTCTTGATGATGGTCAGAAGTCTGTATCTCCTCCGTTGATTGATTTGCAAGAGAGGCTTACTTCTACTATTGAAGATTTTCAGAACCAGTTGGATTTGATTGTTAAGTATGATTGGGATTTTGATAATTACCTTGAAGAGGATGTCCCTGCTGCGGTGAGACTGACGTGGATCTTGCTAAATATTTCACATAACATGTACTGAACTAGTGTTTTGGTTTTTGACGTAGATTGAATATGTAAGAGCGCAATGTAAGCCCAAGGATGGTAAGCTATTTGCTATTGGACACTCCATGGGTGGTATCTTACTATATGCAATGCTATCACGTTGTGGTAAGTTAATATTCATTTTTATAGTGCATAGATTTAGGACGTTACTCATTTTATTTTATTCCATTTGCTTAGCTTCTGAGGGACGAGAGCCTTGTTTGGCAGCTGTGGCAACGTTGGCTTCATCGGTGGATTACACAACTTCAAATTCTGCTCTCAAATTGCTCATACCTCTAGTAAGTAAATTTTGCTTTTAAGACCTCTGCGTTGGATTCTTCTGTGGAAAGCTTACTAGAAACTTGTTCTACAGGCTGATCCAGCACAAGCTCTGAGTGTTCCAGTTGTTCCTTTGGGGGCTCTGTTGGCTGCAGCTTATCCTCTCTCGTCACGACCTCCATACGTATTATCTTGGCTTAACGGTTTGATATCAGCAACGGATATGATGCACCCTGAACAGTTACAGAAGCTTGTCTTGAATAACTTCTGTAAGAACAGATATCTGATCCCATTTAAGTATGTCAAAGAGTTGCGTTTTAGATGCCTGGATGTATTGCTAATAAGATGATTATGCAAGTGAAGTGATAGTTGCTTCCTCTATTTTTTTGCGTCTTTTATGATGATATTAAGAATTTGTCTATTTTGCAACCTTTAGGTACCATACCTGCAAAACTTCTTATTCAGCTGACAACAGCCTTTCGAGAAGGAGGGTTACGAGATCGTAGTGGTGAATTTTACTACAAGGATCATCTTTCCATAACCACTGTCCCAGTCTTAGCTCTTGCGGGTGATCGAGACTTGATTTGTCCCCCTGTAGCTGTAGAAGGTATACTGGCTTGATGCTTGCTATGAACTTGTGCATATATGAACAGCTACACAATACATACATGAAACAGCTCATGTGCACTTCCCCAGATATGCATTTCTTATAAAAATTCGACAATGCTGTTGCTAAATTTCTTGAGTTATGATTAGGTTTTATAATGTATATTTAGCTTTCATGCATTTATGTTTTCTCACCATCGCAATTGCTTGTGAATATGGCAGACACTGTTAAGCTGTTCCCTGAGAATCTGGTCACATATAAGTTACTCGGAGAACCAGACGGACCACATTATGCACACTATGATTTGGTTGGAGGACGACTGGTATGTTACATTCTCTAGGTTTCCCCTGTTGGAACTTTGTTCAGTGCCTTCCATAATATGTCGGTGATTGTTTACTATCTCTAAGTCAATTTCTCTGATATAATCTCTCACTGCAGGCAGTGGAGCAAGTCTATCCTTGCATAACTGAGTTTCTTAGCCACCATGATTCTACATAAAGTGAAACTTATGTTCCTTGCATGCTTATATGCATGCAGACGTTTGCACTTAAGGTGGTGCCCAGCTAATACCTAACAAGCGTGTGTATCAGAAGCGCCTGTTAATAAGGATGTCATTTCCGTTTAAGACAATTCTATGTTTAGTGTTATGGCAAACTGTACATTTAGCTTAGGGAGATTTTTTTCTCAAAAGTTATACCTGTAAATTAAGAAGCATCGAAATCAAAGTATAAAAGTATTATGGTTCATAATTCTCTTAAGGTTCCTTGGATTTTATTCTTCTGGGAAAAAAGAAAAAGAAAAAAAAAACGAGGCGATGGTCTCTCATAAGAAAGTGTCAACGGTATTACAATGGTAAAGTCGGTCGATAGTATTGTAATAAATTTAACAGTTGTCTGTTTAAGCAAACATGCAAAACACAACTTGGAAGTGAACACAAACAAACTCTGGTTTTCAAAACTCAAACTAATTCTGGAATGTATGTCTGTTTCAAGCTGGGTATATTGAAATTTAACAGTGCATATTCAACATGCGATGGAAGTTTAACGGCAGCGATGGAGATCTTTCTCAAAATTTACCAAAATAAATTATGGGTTTGCCTTAGTTTTAGCTTGGTTATTGAGTAATTTTATTATTATTTTCTTTTACCAAATTTATGATATTTTGTTAAAATCAGTTAAATTTGGAAGTCCGATATATTTAAGTATACTAGTTTTAAAATTAAAAACTTTTGATTAGCCAGCCATTTAATATTTTTTGAAGCTCGCATACAACTGCATGTGAAATAATTAAGGGCAAACAAAAGATATTACATAATTTTATATATAAACCACACTTTGAAAATATGAAATAATAAAGATTTAAAATTGTTACCAAATCGCTTATCTTCATAATGAATGTATTGACTTTCGCCCACCTCAAACTAACTAATTTTTTGGAAGAAAAAAAAAATCTACTTTTCTATTTTCTAGTAGAGGCAAAAGATAATATAGTAGTGCTAAGATTGAAGACTCACACGATTTTTTCTCCCACTTCGTAACTTATAAACTATGATGAACCAGGTCGAATCTATGATTTGAAGATGACTTAATGTATGGAAAATAAGTGTTCCAAATTTCAATCATTGGTTATATTTTTGTATATATTCACTTTTTTTAGTTGAATTAAAAATATGAAACTTATTTAAAAAAAGAATAATCGCTTTAATCACAGTTCCATTCTCAAAATCTTATCATATTGGAATACATTTTTAACTGAGACCAACATTCAAACCTCATAATTTCTTAGACAAAAATTTTAAAAATTAGATTTATGAACAGTCTTTGTGCAAAGAAACATCATTACGAAAATACATTATTACGGTTTCAAAAAAACATAAGCATACATAACCAACTTTCTTTTAACTTGCTACTAGATATTTTCAGCTTTCTATACTTCTTATATATTTTTAGACATTGATTTGTCAGGTTTAATCACTAATTTGATTTTGATCACATAAATTCATGAACCTAATACCAAAATTTGCATAATGTCAAGCATGGTAAATAAATGATCAAAATTAAAGGCTAACCAATAGACACCATCTCATGTGATGTTTAACACTGATCAGGTGAATCAAATACCAACTTGGATAAAAATAAAATGAAATTAGGAGTTTTAGATATTTTCAGCATTTGAATGAAAATATGTGAGAGCCACTTACATAAATATAATTTCAATTCAACACTTTCCAAATTCAGAAGACATGCATGAATGTATACATACATATATAAAAAAAATAGTAAAGGCAGATAAGCTACACCTGCCTAATTTTGTTACAAGTCACTGAGTCACAATTCATATCTAATCCTCCTAAAAAGCTTATCAGATTGTTATTAACAAATAGAAATGAAAACGTTTTTTAATCAACCAACTTAACAAAAATGAAAAATAATCTGGTATATCCAGAAAAGTCCAAGCCAGCATCTAATCGTAAAGGTTTGACCAAGAAACATACAGATAAAGATGATAAATGTGACAGAAAGGAAAGAGTGTGCGTCATCTTGAGTGTGTATATGCATTGCATGTACGCTGCGACTCGACGCCACCTTTACCAGTCTATAAATAAGAGATACAACTAAGACTTGTTGTATAAACATATAAATAAGACATAAACAGACAACACAAAGAGACATAAAACAGTTAATTAATTAAGGATGGTGGTTGTTGCTAATGATCTCGCATCAAAGACTCTCCCAAGAGTTCTCATCGTCTCTCGTCGAACTCTACGCAAGAACAAGTACGTTGACTTCGTAGGAGAGTACCATCTCGATCTCATCGTCTCACACGGCGCCGTCCCTGTCATCGTGCCACGTGTAAGTGGAATCCACTCTATGCTCCAGAGCTTTGAGCCTATCCACGGTGTCCTCCTCTGCGAGGGAGAAGATGTTGACCCTTCTCTCTATGCAGAGAAAGAGCTACCAGGACTTTCTCAAGAAGACATGGATGAGATCAAGAGGCTGCACGCAAGTGACACAACCATCGATAAAGAGAAAGACAACATCGAGCTGACTCTAGCTAAACTCTGTCTCGAAAGAAACATTCCTTTCTTAGGCATTTGTCGTGGCTCTCAGATACTTAACGTTGCTTCCGGAGGAACTTTGTACCAAGACATTGATAAAGAAGTTGGGACTAGTTTGAAGCATATAGACTATGAAAATTATGATGAGCATAGACACGTGGCGAGGCTCGTGGAGGAGACGCCGTTGCATAAATGGTTCGAGGAGATGGATCAGATAATGGTGAATTCGTATCATCATCAAGGTGTTAAGAGACTTGCGGAGCGGTTTGTTCCCATGGCATACGCTCCTGATGGTTTGATTGAAGGGTTTTATGATCCGAACCGGTATGATCCAGAGGAAGGTCGGTTTCTGATGGGTCTGCAGTTTCATCCTGAGAGGATGAGAGGCTCTGATGATGAGTTTGAGTATCGTGGATGTGTTTCTGTTTACAAAGAGTTTGTGAGAGCTGTGACTGCTTTTCAGAAGAAGCAACTAGCTGCAACAGAGATTGTGATGGAGTTGAAGAAGAAGACGTTAGTTAAAAGCTTCTCAGGAGCTGAGCTTTTAGAGGCGAACAGGGTTCTAAGCAAGCAACAAGAGAATAGGCTGAAACAGATGGGAGCTACGGTGAGGAACTCATGTGTGTATATGAAAAGGATGAAGAGGAAAGAGGAGCAAGAGAGAGCGATGGATAAGTTGTCCGAGAAGCGTTTGTCTGATCTGCTTTCGTTTCACCGTATGATGGCTCGTCTTTGCTCTGATGCTATCAAGAGGAAGCTGGTGGAACCAGCAGATAGGACAACTGAGTCCTGAGATCTCCTCTTTACTCAACTATTAGCTTTTATTGTAAACACAACATGTTACATATAAATGAAAAACTAGTTTTTTTTTGTGTACATTACATCTTGAATAAGGTTCACATCAAAGTTTGATGACCAAACCTAAACACATAAAGAAGCTCCTTAACTATATGTATTAGAATCTTTTTCGTCATCATCTTATATAATCATATCATCAACGGCAGAAGAAGATGAAATCAGGATGGTTGACATGACGCAACCTCAGCCAGTTGTCTGCAGCTTTGAAAAGGGAGTTCACAAGCTGGTGACCAGAGCCCTTGGTACTTGTCCATACAGAGCCTCTCAACTTGTATGATGCGAGGCCAAAGATAGGCAGCGTTGTCTTCTCAACACTCTCCCTTGGCTGCACCTCAAACATAGACTCTGTTGTAACGTCTGCACCTGCTAGAACAGAAGATTGATAGTAAATGATCCTTTTAACGAGTTAGTTATCCTCATAACATATTGCCATGCCTAGAGTTATTGCTGGTTGACTTACCTAAGAAATTATTTGAAAATAGTGTTTCTTAGTAAAAACAATGAATGCTGAACACCACCAAGCTTACCTTGAAAGGGTGTGTGCAGAGAATGATACGTCAAGAAGCAAGCATCCAGATCTTTGAGTGTTGGTCTTGTGGGAATTTTGTAAATTGGGTACCTACACAGTATAGTAATGTATTTTAAGAGACAAGAGGGAGCACAGTGGAAAAATTCAGAGCATGTTTAATGTATGTTGCTTAGAAAGTTGCTTAGGAGGAGAGGGGTGCTTAATTTGAAGAGAGAGTGTGAAAAGTGCTTAATTAAGCAATTTCTCTCTTCCTAAGCAACACTCTCTCTTCAATTCAAATTAAACACTCATCTCCTCTTAAGCAACTCTCTAAGCAACCTCCATTAAACATGCTCTCAGGAGCAAAGAATACCATGCAACAGAGAACCAGCTAGAGGCAAGGTCAGACATCTGCATTGGTAGACAGTAGTTTGAACATTCGACAGTTATTTGATAGTCCCGAATGAATGCATTGGAGAAGAGTTGTTGGGTTTGACTAATAGCATTACATTCATATATAAGTATTTGATGTTAAAGTCCGTTTTGAATTTTTTTAAAAATTTTCATCAAGGATATTTGAACCTGTGACCAAAGCTTCCCTTGATAAAATGTTAAATCACTGGGCCACTCAAGATTCCGTCTGACAGGTGTAAATATTAATAGTTCTTATTGTTAACTCAAATATGATGTTTGATGTAGTATTAGTAATATGGAGCTAGTAAAGTTGGTCCTAGAGCAAGATAATGAAAAATTTTGAAATCATCAAAACTGGTAATTAGAGTTTTCAAATATTAGTATCTGATGATATAAGTATGTGTATGAAATTTGTTTTTGAAAAAAATTAAATTTAGTGGTTCAAATTAACGTTTTAAAGTCGCCCACTCTCATCTCCGAGAGAGTTAACACCACGCTCCTCATTTCCGTGTAAGTACCTCTATCGATTTTGTTTGATATTGGGATATTTTCAGAATTGGTTTAAAAAGTGAGCGCGTTAGCGCGAAACGGCGTCGTAGTGTTGTGAGGGTGAAACGGTGTCGTTCTAAGTGTTTCAAACACACCAACGAAAATGGCTAAGACAAGACAAGTAAGTAGTTTCCAAGTTCAAGAGTGGATCATTTTTCTTTGTATCTAATCTATATGAAAGCTCTCTCTTGAAGGAAAGGTCACTAAGATGTGAGATTGGTTCTGGCCTGATGCATTTGACTTTGATCACTAAGAAGGGTCATCGTCTCACACGGTGCCGTCCCTGTCATTGTCCCACGTGTAAGTGGGATCCACTCTATGCTCCGGAGCTTTGAGCCTATCCATGGCGTCCTCCTCTGCGAAGGAGAAGACGGAACGCATGTGTGTATATGAAAAGGAAGGAGGAGCAAGAGAGAGTTATGGACAAGTTGTCCACAGAACGTTTGTCTGATCTGCTTTCGTTTCACCGTATGATGGCTCGTCTTTGCTCTGATGCCATAAAGAGGAGATACTGACCATTGAGATCTTCTTTACTCTACTATTAGCTTTTATTGTAAAAAACATGTTACATATAAATGAAAATTAGTTTTTTTTGTGTGTACATTACAACTTGAGCAGGGTTCACATCAAAGTTTGATGACCAAACCCTACACACATAAAGAAGCTCCCTAGCTATATGTATATGTATCTTTTTCGTCATCATCTTATAATCATAATCATCAACGGCAGAAGAAGATGAAATCAGGATGGTTAACATGGCGCAACGTTAGCCAATTGTCTGCGGCTTTGAAAAGGGAGCTCACGAGCTGGTGACCAGAGCCCTTGGTACTTGTCCATACAGAGCCTCTCAGCTTGTATGAAGCGAGGCCAAAGACAGGCAGAAACGTCTTCTCAACATTCTCCCTTGGCTGCACCTCACATATAGATTGTGCTGTAACGTCTGCACCTGCTAGAACAGAAGATAGATAGTAAATGATCCTTTTAACGAGTTAGTTATCCTCATAACATATTGCCAAATAAAAGAAAATGTTTAAACTATAAGTGCTGAACACCACCAAGCTTACCTTGAAAGGGAGTGTGAAGGGAATGATACGTCAAGAAGCAAGCATCCAGATCCTTGAGTGTTGGTCCTGTTGGTATTTTGTAAATTGGGTACCTACAAAGTATAGTAATGTATTCTAAGAGACACGAGGAGGGCAACATGGAAAAAAAAGAAGCAGGTGCACATGGTAACAAAGAAGAATACCATGCAACAGAGAACCAGCTTGAAGGTAGTAAATCACAGCTTCTCAGAGTTTTCAGCTCCGGGAATTTAGAGGCAAGGTCAGACATCTGCAATAGTAGACAAGTATTTTGAACATTCTACAGTTATTTGATAGTCCCAAGTGAATGCATTGGAGAAGAGTTGTTGGGTTTGACTAATAGCATTACATTCATACATAAGTATTTGATGTTACTTCTACACCTAAACTTGTCTGGTTAAACATCAATAAATGCATCTATCAGTACCTAACTGCCGTGTAAACGCATACAAGAAGTTATTTCAAAACCATGAGAGAAGTTAATAGTTTAGTGTAAGACACACATAACCATCCATAATGATCTTTAATAACTTGTGCACATACAGAGTTAAAAATAGACAAACCTTGTCGGCAAAGGTTTCACGGATGTAAGGAAGATCACGTTCAAGATACTCAAATATCAAACGACCTTGAGAGCTTCTCAAAGGCTCTCCATCATCACTAGACGAATCTTCCAGATGCTCCTTTATTGACGAGAGTCCCCTTTCTGACTCACTGCTGCTTCCTTCACTGCTTGAATCCTTGAAATCACTGTCACTCTCCTCACCTGGACGCCTGCAGTAAAACCACACATACATCATTTTTTTTCTCATAAAAAGGACAAGACTTTGAGCTTTATACTGAAGACAGAGGTTCAAGAACTTGATTAAGAGACAGAACACTTGATTAAGTACCTTGAGCTTAAGGCATGAGAATCAGAATAGATTTGGATGGCAGAGAGAGAAGGAACGTAATATTGAATGACTCGATCTTTATAACTGCTGTTGTTCAATGTAAGAGGAACTCCAGTGCCGTAAGCACTCCACTCAGCAAAAGATTCCCATACATCACCAAGAACAAAGTAAGGAGGAATCTGCAGCTCAACATCACTGCCTCTCCTTTCCTTTACCATCGTCTGCGTATAATTATTTCACTTCGGTTAGCTACTGATCTCATAAACAAACGTTCAAAAAAAAAAAAGAAAGGAGATTCTGAGTCTTTGACACATGTTGAGACAAACCTTGGGAAGATAGTGAACAGGGACTGATGGTGTGACCGACTCCAAAAACCGTTCCACATTACTTGAAGATGAAGTGGTAGAGGCGTGGAGTTCCTGAGTGTTGATTGATCTGTTATGTGAGGCGTTGCTCTGAGCTTTCTGCAGCTTAGTCAGATGAAACCCAGCTCCCAACATTTCTTCTTTAGTTATTGATGATAAACGAAGACCACAACTGTTTCTGATCTTTGTTGATCGATTAGACAGCAACACTTGTATTCCAAAAGTCGTTATCTCGATTCAGCTTCTGTACCAAGTCAGTTGAGAAAAAAAAACCCGAAGTGGAGTTCCACTAAGAGAAGGTGAAGATCAGCTTAAGAATGAAAATGGCAACGAGGATGAAGAGAAATTATAGAAATGAGAACTTAAAGGAGAGTTTTAGAATGATTGAAGCTTAATAGCGAATGAGGAGAAAGAAGTTTTTGATTCGTACAAAGGAGAGAGAGAGTATATAAAACAAACAATTGCAATGTTTTTTTTTTTTGCATAATTCGATCCTGTGTACGGTGATTAATTACTTCTCCACCCTTGCTTCTCTGTTATCAATAATACACACTCAAAACCACTGCAAGTATGTGATACTTTTGTTAGAAAAAAAATTAGTAATTTCTCTAACTGAATTTTTTTTTAAGCTGTCCGAAAACAAAGTTAGAACGTTCTAAATTGGAGTTTACTGAATCAGGACGAAGTGGTAAATACGCATAACAAGCAGGGATATATAACGAATGCAATACTTTTTTTTCTTTTTGATCAAACAACAAATGCAGATACATGTTGCCACTTCTCATGATACCAGAAAGTGAATTCATGCACGTGGACTCCGTGTTTTACAGTTCTCATTTTTATTATTTTTTCTTGTAATTCTTCCCCTACTAAAGGTAGAGTATGTGCACATGATCGATACATTCTATTGTCCTTTTCTGAAAATAAACAATTGATAATGCAGGAGAAGTGGCGATGATAATAATGTGTGAGGTGTGTTGTTATTGTGTGTCCTAAGACAGATGGTGTTGACTTGTGGCTGGAGTCACTTTGTCGATTTTTCTAACATCATTGCTGACTCAGCCGTTACTCACTCACTTTTTTTTTTGTCCTCTAGCTCAACAGCGTGTAGAGAAACCACCGTCCGGTCTAACGGGCCCGACCGTTCCCCGGTTCCTTTTATTTTCAGTGACGGACCTTTCTTTATGACAATACGTAATGGGCCGATAATGGTATAAACTAAGCCCATTATGAAAAGGAGTCGGAGTAACAACTATCGACGGCCGGTCAAACCTGAATACGACGTCGTTCCAAAACAGAGACCTTCGTTTTTTTTTTCCTCTCAACGGAAGGAGGGAGGAAGAAGCTCCGTCGCTCTTTAGATCTTCTTCACTCTGGAACATCAAAAACAATAAGGAAGATAAAACTCTAAAGCCTCGAGCTTTCGGATCAGCTTAGATGTCTTTGATACACCTCTTCTTCTTCTTCGTGGGTTTGGTAAGCTTTGAAGCTGCTGCTTCTGCGACGTCGTTTTCCCACGGATCGCGCTCGATTCTCCGGGACATCGGTAGTAACGTCATCTCGGATCATAAAGATAACGCCGTCGAGTTGAACGCCACCAACTTTGATTCAGTTTTCCAAGACACCCCCGCCAAGTACGCCGTGTTGGAGTTCTTCGCTCACTGGTCAGTCTTTGAATCTAATCAATCTGATAAAAAGTTTCAATCTTTCGTTTAGAAATGTTCAAAAGTCCTGAGATTTATCAAGTAAAGTTTTTCGAATTTTAAATATTGAATTGTCTGAATGCTAAAAGGCTTGTTTGTGCCGTACGGACACTAACCATTGTTTTTGTCTGGTTACATTGATGGTGATTCAAGGTGTCCTGCATGTAGGAACTACAAGGTAATATTCAATGTTCTCTCTCTCTCTCTCTTGTTATCCAATGCTTTTGTCTTTGTCGGATGCTGTTTGTATTCAATGCTTTTGAAACTGTGTGACTCTGCAGCCTCATTATGAGAAAGTCGCTAGGCTCTTCAATGGACCTGAGGCTGTACATCCTGGTACCGTTTTGATGACTAGGGTTGATTGTGCGGATAAGGTACTTTTGCGCCACCTTCCTTTGTTTTTCTAGGGACAACGTGTATCAAGAAATTTTTAACTCTCTGTTTCTGTGTTTCTCTTTAATTCTAATTGTTCTGTTATGACTTTTTCGGGCAGAACAGATGAATGTTAAGCTCTGTGATAAATTCTCCATCAAACGTTATCCAATGCTTTTCTGGGGCCCTCCTAGAAAGTTCGTTGGTGGAAGCTGGGAGCCTAAACAAGAGAAAAGTGAGATAATTGTGGTTGAGGAATGGCGCACTGCTGATCTTTTGTTGAGCTGGATTAACAAGCAGCTAGGAAGGTAATGTGTTCACTGAGAGCTCATGTCTCTACCATTGTCATGGCTAATATGAAAATCCATGTGGTTACATCGCACTCAAATCTGTTTTTCATGTTCAATGTTGTGCAGCTCTTATGGCTTGGAGGATCAGAAACTTGGAAATGGGCATCTCCTACCGAATATATCTGACCACGAACAGGTTTCTCAGATTGTGTTCTGCTTTCACTTTGCTATAACTGTAACATTTGGTTTAGTTCCAAAAAAAAAACTTAAAAGAGCTGGTTGTTGATATATCACAGATTTCTCAGGCCGTATATGACATTGAGGAGGCAACTGAAGAAGCTTTTGATATCATCTTGTCACTCAAGGTAGAGCTACTCTTTTGATTTTACTGTATACATATAGAATCACTTTCAGCCTTGTTGATGAGTAGTGAATTGCCACAGGCAATCAAGTCTTCTGAAACCGGTGCTTCGTTTATTAGGTTTCTCCAGCTTTTGGTGCCTCATCATCCTTCAAGAAGGTAAAATATCATCTTCAAATTTTTCATTTAAATGTTTCTCTGCTCACTCTTTTTCCTCACGCCTAATCAAGTTGTGAACATCTCTATAGGTGTCGTAAGGGAAGTGCTGAAATTCTCATGAACTTCGATGATTTGTGCCCGGCAGGCGAGTGCTCTTATGACTCCGGAGTGAATAATACTCTACGAAACTTCCATGTATGTGGAAAGGATCTTCCTCGTGGATCTTACGTGAGTGATCCTAACAACTTACTCTATTGTTTCCCTGCTCTGCTTTAAACACAGAGAAGTCTGATTCTTAAATCATATTGCCAGATGTTTTGCCGTGGCAGCAAGAATGAAACTAGGGGATTCAGGTAGTTTTGCAAAATTAGTCCTTTATCAAACTATTTTAGTATGCTGATAGGATCTTTGAAAATGGTTTGACTGTAGCTGCGGATTATGGATTTTGATGCATTCACTTTCTGTGAGGATAGAGGATGGAGAAAGTCAGTTTGCATTCACAACCATTTGTGACTTCATCAACAACTTCTTCATGTGTGATGAATGCCGCCGCCATTTTCACGACATGTGCTTAAGGTAAAGAGAGATCCCAAAGGTTGGCTAACAAGAAAGACTATCACATCCTTTCTCATCTAACAGCTTTATGTGTGTTTTCACTGACCAGCGTAAAAACTCCGTTTAAAAAGGCACGTGATGTGGTCTTGTGGCTCTGGAGCACACATAACAAGGTCAACGAGAGACTCAAAAAGGACGAAGAATCTCTTGGAACAGGAGACCCCAAGTTCCCAAAGATGATATGGCCACCAAAGCAGCTTTGCACATCGTGTTATCTTTCGAGCACCGGGAAGAACATTGATTGGGATCACGATGAAGTGTACAAATTCTTGAAAATGTACTACGGACAGAAACTGGTGTCTTCTTACAAGAAAAAGAGTGATGGTGTGAGTAAGGAGGAGGTGGTTGCAGCTGCAGAAGAAATGGCAGTGCCAACGAACGCACTAGTTGTACCTGTGGGAGCTGCATTGGCTATAGCACTTGCGAGCTGCGCATTTGGGGCGCTCGCATGCTACTGGAGGACACAGCAGAAGAACCGGAAGCATCACCACAATCCGCACTATCTAAGGAGATATAGTAGTAACTATTTGGTGATGAATACGTTCAGTAACAATGAAAGCGAGAGGGAAAAGGAGAGATGAAGTAATTTAAAGAAGAAGAAAAAGCTCACATTGTTTTGACATTCAGGCAAAGGGATTAGCTGGAGTTGATGTTGAGCTTTGTGTTATGTTGTAACTTACAGAGAACAGATGCAAACATGGTGAGGTTGAGATGCCAAAGTCTCCTGCTTCAGGGTCCTTTTCTCTCATTCTCATCTTACTGATTGTATAGATTTTTCCCTCCATTTTTGGACTATACAGTAGACCCCTTTATATCTCTCTATATATGTATGTCAAAACAGAATATTTCCTTAAAATCCTATTGAATCTCCCACCTTTTATTATTGTTAGAGTATCTCCAAGGAAAATTTTTAAAGGAAATAATTAAATAATCATTGAATTCCATAAAAAATTAAAGATTTGATCTTTAAAATCTCTATATAAAGATTGTTTTTTAACGAATCTTAATATTATTTGCGAATTCCCATGACACTTAACGATCCACAATTGATTAGTATTTTTTAAAAAATTTTTTTTTGAAAAAAACCAAAAAAAAAAAAAGAAATTAGAAATTTTGAAAACAGTTAACACCGTTGGAGATGCTCTTATTTTGTGGTCAATCTTCTGCTGCTGCAGTTTCTGTTACATAGAAGCCTAATTGGCTTACTAGTTAACCGAATCAAGAACTGAATGTCAAAACAAATGATTAACACTTGAATTGAGATCAGTTTAATCAGTTGTTTGACCGTACAAACAAATTTTCCTAAGTACATTTTGAATCATACTCTTATTCAGACACAACACACTAACACAACTAGTACATTTCAGAATCTTATTTTAGATATTTCCAAATTTAAAACTCACGAAGAAGCTAAAAAGCTCGACCGTAACTTCTGTTTCACAACATCACCACCACCACCGAACAAGCCTTTGCCCAAAACCCAACCTTCAATCATATCCCTCGAGTTCACAGCTTTATCCGTCGGAACAAGATGCCCTGCTCCCGAAACCGCCACGTGTGTCAAATTCCCCCACCTCTGAACATACCCAGCCAGATCACCGTCTCCATCCTTCCACACTTTCCTCTCCGCATTCAAAAACGCACCCAACCCCGACCACTCCATGGTCTCCATCCACTCCTCCGCCGAAACGACGCCGTCTCTAAGATCCAACATACCGTAATACAACAACACGTTGGTTCTCTCCAAGGCATACTCCACCATGAACTTCACGCTCTTCATCACATCTTCACGTAAAGCCTCGTCCACGTCATCACTGCATTCCTCAAAACGCACCGTTTCGCTCACTCCCAAAACTTTTTTCGCCTCTCTAAGGTTCATGAGGTCAACCACGAGGTCAGTCCTGTACGGTATCATCCGCGCTTGGTTGTATAGCGTCGCGAGTCCCGTCATGTTGCGAAGTAGCGTCAGTAATTTAGTTCTCGCTTCTGTTGCTTCCCGCCATCTCTGAGCCTTCACGAGAGCTATAGCTACCTCTTGACCTCTCTCAAGCTCCTCTCTCTGTTTCGCGTTGACTAAACCCGAGTAGTAAGCGTTGACCGCGTGTGTCCGGATCTGGTTCACCGGATCGGTCAACCCGTTTCCGATAGCAAGGCCCATTAGATTCACTTTCCCGTTGTTTTTTTCTTTGAGGATGTAATATCCAATGGCGGGAACGTATTTACCAGCGTAGCTCTCGCCGGTTATGTAAACCGGTCGGTTTTGAAAACCGGGGTTTTGATCCATGAACTCGGCGAGAGCTGCGTAGAGTTGTTCTGCCACCTGTCTCTGATTCTTTGGTATGTCTTGTTTCGAAGCGGCGATGCTGAATCCGACTCCGATGGGGTTATCCAAGAAAAGTAGACCGAAGAGGCGGTTCCAGGCGCCAGGGTTTGGTTCTAGCTTGGTGGCGTTTGAAAGCACGCGCCAAGGGCCAAGCTCGTGGAAGTTTCCGATCATGGAGGAGCAGCCTGGCCCACCTTGGAGCCAGACGAGGAGGGGAGTGTTGGGAAGAGGAGTGATTGGGTTTTGGGCTTCGTAGTAGGTATAGAACATGGAGGAGCCAGGAGCGGGTTTAACCGGAAGGTAACCGGATTTAGTTGGGAGAGCTTCATCGGGAAACAGTGGGGGTGGTAGAGAATTGACGGAGACTGTGAGGAGGAGAGTGGAGAGGAAGAAAAAGACTGTAGAGACGTGCTTCATTATCGCCACTACCTCGTGGCTTTACGTAAAGTTCGCTTTGTATTATTTGACTGCGAAACATTCTTTTGTGTCAAAAAAAAGAAAAAAAAACATTCTTTTGTGTTTTGTCTTGTAACCAGTGCAACGTTGCTATCAACACTACTTTTGGTTTTAATAATCAAGACGTGTTTACCTACCTAATTGCATAAACATGAATAAACCATTAAGTAATTATTAATTTGGGATGCTTTTCATAGTTCTATACCGCAAATTGTATTTGATTTTATTAATCAAGACGTGGTTACCCAACCTAATTGCATAAACATGAATAAATCATTGCATAATTTTATTTAGGAAGCTTTTCATAGTTTAACACTGCAAACTGTATTGGCCCAATATAAAAAAGAATGTCAGCTCGGCCCAAAAAAAGATGGACCCCTTATTGATGTCTTAACCATTTGCTTCCCTAAATGTCGGAAGACGTGCTTATGTTTGGTAAAGTGATCACAAGGTGTTCGATATAATACCTGAGAGAAATTACACAGGTTTCTTCTGATTCTTAGAGTGAGTTGGGTTTCCGAGGGTGAAGATGATGTTCTTGGACGTTTGCAATGAGATTATAAAGATCCAGAAGCTACGACGGGCTGTCTCTTACGCTGGATTCTATTGCTTCACTGCCGCCCTCACATTCTTCTACACAAACAACACGTAATAAACCCTTCAAAGTTTTACACTCGGATCTCAAATTTTCTTCATTTTGTTGTTCCTTTTTCAATTTCAAGATCTTTAGGGTTTCGAAGTGTTTCTCATCAGTTTAGCGTCTGGTGTTGATGGATTTAAATGCACGGATTCGAATGTTTTTTTGTAGAACAAGAGCAGGATTCTCAAGAGGAGATCAGTTTTATGCATCTTACCCTGCCGGTACCGAACTTCTTACCGACACAGCTAAGGTTAGTTGAGATAGTTGATTATTTATTCTCTGTATTACATATTGGTTTGGAACTGAGGAAACAGTTTTTTTTTTGCGTGTTAAAGCTGTACAAAGCGGCGCTTGGGAATTGCTATGAATCTGAGGATTGGGGTCCTGTCGAGTTCTGCATCATGGCTAAGCATTTTGAGCGCCAGGGAAAGTCTCCATACGTTTACCACTCTGTAAGATTCCTTCAACTTCTCTATGATCTTAATTTGGTTTCTTTAACTTAGTTTCTATAATGCGGATGATATTGTGTTATAAAGGTTAGTTTCCATAAATACTAGGGACTTTCTGGTGTGCCATATGTTGATAGAATGTTTGTTTGTTAGCTATGGAATACAAAAACAAATGTTGAGAGTTCTTTTGTTTGTAAATGCAGCAATACATGGCTCACCTTCTTTCTCAAGGCCAACTTGATGGAAGTGGCTAAAGCCGTCGGTTACAACTCCTTTTTATCAGATGTGTACCTAATCTTGTTATTGCAAAATTAAACTCGGGTGCCTCGAACTTTCTTCTTTACTTACTCTTTTTCCTCATTTGTACTGAATATAAGAACATATTTTGGTGTATTGAGCATGATATGTACGCCCACAATGTAATAAACACATAAGATCAGACCTTGATATGATGTACAAACAAGTAAACACTTTTATTGGCTTAACGATCTGCGATAAACAAGCCAATAACCCTCTTCCATCTGAGCTTATAAGTCACAAACAGAATCTTATAATTCATCATCCAGTTGAAGCAGAAAAAGGAAGGGTTTAGTGCATAGTAGACAACATGCGTAACTTCTTTAGCCGTTTGATCAAACGAATGTCAGGTTGATCTACTGTCTAACAAACCCCATGATACTCATCTTGCAACGTTTTATGCATCTGATTCTTAGCAAATTATTCTATAGACGATTTGATCTTCTCCATTGGGGAATTTAAGCTCAACAAGAGCCTATAGAGTATAAAATCCACATATATCTAGAATGATTGATCAAAAATGACCAGACCAAGATGGGATTTCCTGACGACTTGTTCAGTCCGCTTGCTCCACAAGAGCTTATAGAGTATAAATCCACACTTTGATATGAATTACCAAAGGGATTCTACCCTGGAGGGTACTAAACTTTCTTTAGCAAATATTCAAACTGGCGAACGTCGGCCCAATATATTTTTAGGCCCATAATATGCGAAATAAACCTAAACCCTCGGCCTTTTAATGTCTCCCTCTAAACCCTACGACCTAGAACATTCCGTCTCCCATCTTGTGCCCCAATTAAAAACCCTAGAATTCACACTCACCTCCTGAGAGAAGAATTGAGAGAAATGATGAAGCGTTTGGTGCCAACGTTCAACCGCATCCTGGTGAAGAGAGTCATCCAGCCTGCTAAAACCGAAAGCGGCATCCTCCTCCCAGAGAAAGCCTCCTCTGTAAGAACCTTTTATCCACTTTTACGATCTAATCTTTCTGATTTGACCTCGAAAAGATCTAAAACGGTTATGGATGAATGATATACAGCTGAACTCGGGCAAGGTGATAGCAGTGGGACCTGGATCAAGGGACAAAGACGGGAATTTGATTCCGGTTTCTGTCAAGGAAGGCGACACTGTTCTTCTTCCAGAGTACGGCGGTACTCAGGTCAAACTCGGCGAGAATGAGTAAGTCAAAACCAAATCTTTTTTATTGACTTTACATTGATTGTAAATGGCTTCATTCTTCAGAGCATTGTTATTGTGTGATTAATCCTCATGTCTGGTAGCTCGATTTTAGATAAAGGTTTGATTAGTGAACAGACTCTTGATCAGTGGAATAGTAATTTCAAAGACTATATTGATTCATGTGTCGATGTGACAAATGTAGAATTGGATTCAAAGTTAAGTAACTTTTGTTTTATTGTTGGTGATTGGCGTTAGGTACCATCTCTTCCGGGATGAGGACGTGTTGGGAACATTGCACGAGGACTGAGAAGGCTTAACACACTCAACTACGAGCGTTCTTGCTGGCCTTTGTGTTATGGTTCGGGAAAAAATGTCATTTTTATCTTTTTTTTTTATATGAGGTTGGACTTTGTTGATTATTATTGAAATTCAGACATCAAACATAAAGAATGCACCTTCTGATTTCAATCTTCTGTGCTTATTCCGGTGGGGATAAAATAAAAGCTCATTTCAATGCATTCCTTCTTCCATAGAATCATATCATCTTTACACTCTCTGACTATTCAATCAGGTCGAGCTCATACGTGACGTGTATCATTTGAAAAAGTGGCCGTCTTTTGTGTAGTATGCAAATATCTTCCTTCCTTAAATGGTATTAGCTTCCATGTCTAAATGTGTGGATCATTGCCTCTTCTAATTATACGAATCAGACCATAAAGATAAACGGGTGCATTCAATTCGAATTAAATAAGAAACTTTAAAACACAGAAGAATCCAAGGGTAATGAGAAAAGAAAGTGCGATGTGCATGTAATCACACTTCCACCGTCACACGAGTGTACAATAAATATACAAAAAACACTCTCCGATGACTTGCTTATACGCCGCCGGTGTTAATCTGTTATAGTTATGGCGTAGCGCTTTAACGAAGGAGGGAAACAATGATTCCCCAGGAGGAGAGAGATCCGTCTATTCAAATTCGGATTCCGGAAAACGGCCACTCTACTCCATCTCCGCCTGCTTCGCCTCTTCTCTCCCGGAGCAGGTCTAAATCCTCCTCCGTACAGCCGAATCGGACACTAGTTCATCGTATCTCCTGGATCCTATTATCGCTTCTTCTCCGGCGTCAGGGGCTTCTACTCTTCGCTCCTCTCGTCTACATCTTCACTATGCTCTTTCACATGCGCGCGGCTTCGTTTGATGCGGTTCCACTCATCAATCGCCGCCCGGCGCCTGGATCCGTTTATAGAAGCCCGCAGGTTTACGCTAAGCTACGCGAGGAGATTGACGCTGATAATGCCACTGCTGATGCGGTGAGGTTTGCCTCCCGCTTTTACCTGAAATCCGTTTGAGAATGTAGTCATTGTGTTACATAGATTTCTCGTAGTCATTGACGCGGCTAAATGACATAGTTAGAGAGTACAATGTTTAGGAGAATGTATTACTCTGTTTCTGTAAGACATATCGAAACCTGGCTCTGATACCATATTAGAATTAAGGAAAACATTCATCATTAATGTTAAATGTGTACAAAGTCAGTCATCTAGACTACATCTACGTATGTATATACAGCAATGTTATAATATACATGTCACCTAATAGATACTGCTGTCTTCTCTATATAGCTAGGCACTGTACTTGTTCATTATACTCTATGCTTTCTCACGTATCGTCACTGCAATTGTATTCACTCTAGATATCAACAATTTGGAAACGTTCCTATAAAGGTGTGGAGTGGAAGCCATGCGTCAACAAGTCCAACGGAGGTATATGACATAGCTTTCCTTGTTTCTTCGAAAGTTTCCTATGCTAATAAGTTATTGCATTGATGAAAGCTTTTCATGTCACAACGCTCTCTTTATAAACTTATGAGCTTTGCTTGAAGAACAGTATTACATTGGCCTTGGGTGATAATTACTGATTTTTTTTTTGTATCGTGTTGAGAGTTGTAGTTTTGCCTGACTCAAATGGTTTCATATTCATTGAGGCAAATGGAGGTTTGAATCAGCAGCGGACTTCGGTAGGTTTGTCTATCTTACTGTAAAATTTGATTTGTTTCACTCTTAGCCTTCTTGCCTGTGTTAAGGTAAAGTCGTTGACTTGTCTCTCTTCCATGTTTTGTTTAGATATGCAATGCGGTTGCTGTGGCAGGCTATCTTAATGCGACCCTTGTAATTCCTAACTTTCATTATCACAGCATATGGAAAGATCCGAGGTTTTTCAGTTATTTGCTTTGCTAATCTTCTCTTGGTGTTGTAAATTCAGCGAGGCCGTCTCCTTTTCATCTACTTTCTGACAGATGGCTTTTTCGTGCAGTAAATTTGGGGACATCTATGATGAAGAATATTTTGTCACTACCTTAGCAAATGATGTCCGGGTAGTCGATACAGTCCCTGAGTACTTAATGGAGCGTTTTGACTATAACTTGACAAAAGTCTACAACTTCAGAGTTAAAGCATGGGCACCCACTCACTATTACCGGGATTCTGTTCTGCCTAAGCTACTTGAAGAAAAGTGAGTCACATAGTCTTCTGAACTTGTAGAGTTGGTTTCTATATAATAAGTAGCCTTTTTGTGCAAAGGGATATTTGATTATGTTTGAAATATTTGTTGTCTTTTTCATGGCACAGGGTCATAAGAATTTCTCCATTTGCAAATAGACTTTCGTTTGATGCTCCAAGACCTGTCCAGAGATTTCGTTGTTTGGCCAATAATGTCGCTTTGAGATTTGCAAAACCCATACTGACCCAAGGAAAAACACTGGTGAAGAAAATGAAGGAGCTTAGTGCAAACAACGCCGGGAAGTACGTTTCTGTGCATCTTCGTTTTGAAGAGGTTTGGTTGTATATACTGAAAACAGATCTGTGTCTGAGGTGAAAGATTTAATACATCATAAAAACTTGTTGGCAGGATATGGTAGCGTTCTCCTGTTGTGTATTTGATGGTGGCATCCAAGAAAAGCAAGACATGATTGCGGCTAGAGAACGGGGATGGAAAGGGAAATTCACAAAACCTGGCCGCGTGATACGACCTGGAGCTATCAGACTCAATGGGAAATGCCCTTTAACTCCTTTAGAGGTAAGCATAAACATTAAAAGAGTATCTTCGTATAACATTCATCCAACTAGAGTAATCAGAGTAGTTGTGAAAAGTGCAAATCATCCTTGCGAGCAATAATGTGAGTTGAGTAGCATGTTCCTGTTGGTTTCCTTGTACACCAATCAGGTGGGTTTGATGCTTAGAGGAATGGGCTTCAACAAAAGCACATACATATACCTAGCCTCGGGACCAATATATGGTGCAAATAGAACTATGGCTCCACTACTCGAGATGTTCCCTAATCTACAGACGAAGGAGATGCTTGCGTCTGAGGAAGAACTGGCTCCTTTTAAGGTCTGCTTCTGGTTTCAATGATCTTCCATTGTTTGCTTATCCACGTTATGAATCTCTGATCAAAATTTTGCTTTTTTTTTTGCGTTCAGAATTTCTCGTCAAGAATGGCTGCTCTAGATTACACAGTGTGTCTCCATAGTGAAGTATTTGTGACAACTCAAGGAGGAAACTTCCCTCATTTCCTCATGGGGCATCGAAGGTACTTGTTTGGAGGACATTCAAAAACCATTCGGCCTGACAAGCGAAAGTTAGCCGTACTCTTTGACAATCCCAAGTTGGGGTAACGATGCTTAACTCTTCCCACCTAAATACAATGCTTTTTGTTTATAATATCTGGTTGGTCGGTCTCTCAGTGGTTGTGTCTGATATCACCGGCAGATGGAGAAGTTTTAAACATCATATGCTAAACATGAGGTCTCATAGCGACTCTAAGGGGTTTAAGCTGAAACGAGCTAGTGACTCTATTTACATGTTCCCTTGCCCTGACTGTATGTGCCGCAGGAACAAAACTACGCCAACCACCTGACCACATTGTTGCCAGAGATTATGGAATCTGGTACATTATTTAATTCATTGTATTGGTAAATTCTTTTAGTTTGCCACATCCACATCCAAACAGAGATAGAGAGAGGGGGACTAGCCAAATTATTCTCAATGGGCTAGATTTTTTTTTTGACACAGTGAAGTTGATGTATTTAAGTGAGTTAGGGTAGAAGAAACCTGTCCAAAAAGTTTTGTACATTGACCGGTTCCCTTTTGTTTTATTTATTATAAATTCATTGATGTAGCTTTTAAATTCTTCTCGCTATAGATTCTTATGGTTCTTCCAAGTGTGTGATCTTTCTAGACACTGATGTCTTGTTGTTTGGGAATGTCTTACTCTTGAATTTGAAACTGTATAATCCAGAATACTATTTTCCTAGAACAGTATAGCTTTGGACATAAACAATATATCTTTGTGAAGATAGTGTGATGTTGTAGAAGAGCCCTCGAGAAAAAGATAACCTCTTTACCAATCTAATTAAGGCTTTTTGAGAACCACTTATGCATTCATTCAATGATGAAATGCTCTACTTTCTACAAAAATTAGTTTCATTGGATATCACTTGGTAGCTTTCTAAGCACATTACATATATGGCTTCTTTGAGCATCAAAGGGGTAGCCAAACCCTAAAGATCCTCTGTTTAATCTTATCCAAAATTAATACAAACTGATAAATTTTAATATATATCTAGAAATATCATATAATAGGTCTTTAAATTCAGTGGGAAAATTTACAGTGTATCCAATTCCAATGTCATCTCCATATCACGCTCTTTCCGACACAGTCACAGATAAACAGCAGAAGAAGAAGAAAAGGACAGCTTGTTGAACAAGAAACCCACATATACTAACTCGAAACACGCATTTAAATTTAAATTTTATATAAATTCCTTACACAGACAACGAAACATCGAAGCTTTAAGACACAGTCTCAGCTCCAAACCTTAACATGCTCTAAGCTTCACATTCGAGTTATAATGCACCCAACATTTACTACACGTCTCCATCTTCATCCTCTTTTCTCTCTCACACACTTCTCTTCAAACACATCACTTAACCCTTTTTCACACAAAGCTACAAAACCTTCATTAAATAAACCAACCGACCCACATGGTTTTTTGGCTTCAGTCCATCAGAGGCATGAATTCGTAAGAATAACAGTAGTTGGAATACAACTGGTCTGGTTTTCTGTTCTTCCCTTCAAAACCGGTTCTCTCTTGGTTATCTGTAACCGGAAATAGATCTAGCGTTCGGCTTTTCCTTGTTTCTTCTTCTTCTTCATTCAGCTGCTGCTCTGCTTCTTGACTTCTTTTAGAAGCAACTATCATCAGATGGTAGTTGAAGTCTGAAGTGTTGATTGAATGTATCTGATTTTGAGGAGTGGCTTCTTTTTCTTCCATTAACCCCCTCTTCCCATCATCAATAGTATTGTTCTGATGAGAGGAGAAGATAAAGAAGCACAAGAAGTTCTATGTGAAAGTGATACTTTTTTTTCTTATATATTGTTCCCAACATAACATGAAAAGAAACTTTACATGCCCTATTCTTCTACACATGTGTATATTAACATTAAATAATAAATAAGAATAAAACATAAATTCAGACGTTACATACTTTCGTAAATGTAGTTGATAACATTTCTATGAAATTAATAGAAAAGTATTATTGAGAAATTACCTGTGGGTGTGTAGGTGAAGAAGACAAGCAAGTCCTTGTGTGAATAACTAGATGATCACCTCTTCTTCTTGAGACTAATTATTGTTATAGGAGGGAATAATTCAATACTTAAGTGATAATACTCAAATAGGTTACAACTGAGATTAATTACCTGATGATGAATCATTGTTTGTCATTGCTTCTTCATGAACGTTAGTAGTAACTTCTTGTTGATCACCACGGCGTCGTTTCAGCTTCTCCCTTGACTTATGGTTTTGGAACCAGTAGAAAACGTTCTTTCCCTCAATTCTCCCATAATTTTGGAGCTTAGATGCAATCTCTTGGATCTGTTGTGTCGTCGGTGTCCGTGTTCCGTTACTGTAAACCTCTTCAAGCACCATCGTCTGCTTAGGCGTCGGATTCCACCGTGAGTGCATGTAATTTTCCTTCTCTATGGGTTCTCCTGCAGATCGGTTATGATCTGTTCATCATAAAAGTAATTTATGGAAAGAACAGCGTTATCTAATAGACACAAAGTGTGTACATAAGGATTTATATATAAAGGTTTTAGTACAGTGATGAGCAAGAGTGTGAGAAATTAGGTCTTTGTTGTAGGTAGTGTTGTTAAGAATCAAACTATCCTACTTCTGGACTTAACACGGACTAAACCTGAATTATTGTCAGAATTTTGGGCTTTTTTTCAAGTAAATGAAACATTTTCATCTCAAGTTTGAAGTTCCTTATTGTTTTTTGTTCTTTTAATTAAAACTAGATTTTGACCCGCCCTTAAAGAGGCGGGACAACCGTTTTTGCTTTAAATTTATTCTCTTGTTTGATTATTCACAAGTATGTATAGACATGAGTATCCGGGTTCAGATAGATTGTCGTTAATAATTTTGGTTTGGTCCACCATATATAGATTAAATACGATTACATACAATTTAATGTGTGGTCTAAGATTGATTTTTCTTATTAGATAACAAATTTTAGAGACCCGGTGAAATTATGAGTTCTATTCGATAATCTAAAGTATTTATTTCTAATAGTTTATATTTTGAGTTCAAACTTATTATTTATAAAAAATAAATAATTTTAGGATACTATTATAAACAATTTGGTTGATATTATTGTCATATAAAAATAAATAGAGATACAACCGACTGTTTATTTTTAAATTATGGTCATAAAAATTGACATTGTATTATATAGTGTGTTTAAAAATATGATTATCAAAACAATTATATAAGAAAATAACATAAAAATTCAAAATACAACCGCGAATGATTATTTCAAGCCCGTAAATAAATCAATACATCATATTAACGACCCAAGCCCAACACAAATATACCGACAATATCTCTTTAATACATCTTGGACATGCGACTACCACATATCTTTTCAAGAGCGGGATATATTTTCTTTATAAATTGATTTATACGAAACAAAGATTTGATAATTATAAAATTACATGTGTTAAAATTTTGCAACTTAATACATTTATAATTGTGTTGAACAGTGTTTTCATACCCGACACGGGTTTGAGATTGAGAAACTAAACTTAGTGATATGTATATATTTCAGTTCGGATTTAACTAATTCACCGCTATTTAAAATTTCTATAAAATTTGGTAAGAATCCAAAATACGTTAGTAACATGTCACCTAGCACTGACTGACCCGTGTAAAACTAAGATAAAATTGGTGATCTAAAAAGATTGATCAAAATTTTATATATTTTAAAATGAGTACATGAAATTGAACAGTATATTTGATTTTTGATTCTTTACTAAAAGAAGTACTATGTTGTCTGATAAAAAAAAAAAGATAAAGGCGATAGAGAACACCAAAAAAATTTACTCATTTTTCAGTTTAATTATAAAAACTTCATTTTATGATGTGAAATATTTATTGCTACTTGATAAACAAAGATTCACTTTCTAAAATAAATACTCAAAATAAGAATATATGCTTTCAATCAAAGATGCATTTAACAACAAATAATATTTGTTAGGTNAAGATTCACTTTCTAAAATAAATACTCAAAATAAGAATATATGCTTTCAATCAAAGATGCATTTAACAACAAATAATATTTGTTAGGTTAATTAATAGGGAGGAAAATAGTGTTCCTAAATAATAACTACATCTAATAAATTAAATATTAAATATATTTATTTCAATGGCACAATCCTAGTTTAAGACAGTCGAGTTTGACACATATATATGTTTACAATATAATAGTCTAGATTTTGACCCGCACTTTGATAGTGCAGAATTGTTTTCTGTTAATAATACTATTAACCCGTTTGTTAGTTCATAATAGAAATGAAAAATCTATTTGTTCAAGCCGTTTGTAACTTGATAAATATTTTTTGACCTGTAGAAAATGAACACATTAAAAAAAGTTTATCTTATTCCAGTACATATGAAAAATGAATTGTTGTCCGTAAACTATATAACAAATGAAAATTTTGACCCTTATATATATTAAACTTAAGCTATATTCATAGTAGAGAACATAATATGACTCATATATATAGTAA